CAGGGGATGGCCATGCTGGTGGGCAGATGTGACAGGAGCCTCATCAGCATCTCTGAATCCTACCAGACTCAGAAAGACAGAAGGAAGGAAGGGCAGTAAAGAGCAGGGAAGATAATCCCCTTCGGCCCTGGCTTTCCTTTACTCTTGACTTAGATATCTGCCTGATTTATGGTATTTTAAAGCAAGTAATCCAGAAGGACATAGATTTAGCTTGTGGCCTGCATTCATGAAATGTCAGTGAGAGGGCAGATTCTGGGACTTAGGCATATACATAAAGGAAAAAAAAAAACAAAACAAAAACAAAACACATAAGGCTCTTACAGGCTTCAGGGCCAAATAAGAGGACAGCTAGATAATGTAGCATTTCATCACACTACCATGATAATCCCTAAGTATTTCTCTGAGTGTGTGTGTGTGTGTGAGCGTGAGACTGACTCCTGAATAGAATGCACGTGAGCACCCTCACTCTGAGGCTGAGATACAGAAACGGGAAAAGAGATACATCTGTCACGTCTTCCAAACCGAACAGAGGACATCTGCAGCTACCACCACCAGCTCACGCCAGCACAATGGGAGAAACAGATGTAAAAATAGCAGTGATCTGTTCAGCCATTAGCAGAGGCAAAACTGAATATAGCAGCGTGCAGCAGCACTGACGTACAGGCTGCCTCAAGTGGACGGTGTGCCAGCCAACAACTACTCCCCATCCGTGTCATGCCTGATGTCTGTAAGTGGAGGAGGAGACAGTGAGAAACTTAGGAGGCAACAGCAGCAGGTGATGTTGTCTGGCAGTGAGCGAAGGTGCTGTTTGCTCAGGGTGGGGGATGTCGCTTCAGGAATTCCTCACCCCATCAGGGGCATTATTTCATGTTCTTAAATAGGCAAGAATAATGGTGGTGAGGCTGCTGGACAAGGAGGAAAAAACACAGCATAAAAAAGATGAGGAAGATGCTAGGGAGATGTCTGAGTTGGTAAAGCACTTGCCACGCACACAGCATGTATCAATATTCCTTTTAGTGTTCAATGCTGTTCAGCTGTATGGACATGCTACAATTTGTCCACTTATCTGCTGGTGAACATTGGGCATTTCCCAGTTTGGGATGCCTAGGAATAATGCTATTTGGACTATCTTGTATACATTTATTTTCATTCCTCTTGGGAATCTACCTAGAAACCTAGAAGTATATTTAACTTTTTAAAAATATTCTTCCAGACTATTCTCTAAAGTGAATGTTTTCTCTCAAGCTCCTGCTACTAATGTACAGGAGTTCCAGTTTCTCCAGTCTAGATCATACTTGTAACTACTGGGGTTTGGTCAAGGATATTTTAGTGAGTATAAAGTAGTTGTGACATGAGTGTTTTGCCTGTATGTACGTGTATCATGTATGTGCCTGGTGCCCACAGAGACATCAGATCTGGAACTGGAGTTACAAATGGTTGTGAGCTGCCATGTGAGTGCTGGGAACAGTGCTCTTAACTGCTGAGCCGTTGCTCCAGCCCCTGTGTTATTTTTAAAACCAAAGCCATCAGTGGACTCGGGGAGGGGCATGCATGCAGAAAGGGGAGGGAGGGTGGGATCGGCAGGGGAGGAGGGAGGGGTTTATGGGGGGATACAAAATGAATAAAGTGTAATTAATAAAAAATTTAAAAAAAAGTGAAAAAAAAAACAAAAAACAAAAAACAAAGCCATGCATTTATAGTTAACAATGTGAAGCTCCAGTATATATATATGCTCCATTCCTCTCCTCGCCCGTATCTATAAGGTAAGTACTTTAAATTCTTCTAGTTTAATTCTGTCATTTACCTTGATTTCTGGTAAGATGCTGTGATGTAATTTTAAAACCAGTTTTAGATAATATTTCTCAACTTTTAAATCTGGAAGAAGAGTATATTCAGTGTATGTGCATACAAACAAAGAATCATTTTATCTTTTCATTTTTACAATACAATCATCATCCCCATTTATTTTGTTGTTGTTAAGTCAGTAGTTTTGGACCTCTTCCATGTAAGACAAGCCACACCTCCAGCCCACCTTCTCAGCGTTTTACATGTCAGTTACTGGATATAGTCACACACCCTAGGTATGTTACTATTTCGCTCTCTCCCATCTCATTGTCAGTCTCTGTCTCTCATAGGTCTAGCTACACAGGCCAGGGTGGTCTCAAGCTCACAGTCTCCCTGTTTCAGTCTTCCAAGTGCTGGGATGTATACTATTTACCTAGTATATGTTCATAATTTGATTAGTATTTGTTGAATGAATGAATGAAAATACCTAGACCTCAAATGAAAATATCAGAGTCGAAGCTCTGGAGTCAGAAGGAAGCAGTAAGTGCTGGCTAGCTGCTGAGGAGGAGGCTGGGAGCTGAGCAGCCCTCTAGTTGGTGCTACGCCTCCTGCAGAGGAGAGACCTTTTGTACTGACGGGGAGATGAACTTTGAATCTTTATTCTTCAAACCTATTCAATTTTCTGAAGCCTAAAGCTTAACAGTAAGTTCAGACTCCAAATAAAAGACATAAAAAGTATCACTAAAATGTGAAGACTGAGTGCTCACATGTTGCTGTGTTAATATTGTCAAGGCTATGATTGGCAGGATCTAAGGAACCCAGCCTTCCAAATGGAAAAGATTGGTCATTACTACCCACTGAATGTTCCCAACTTAGTGCCATCCCAAGTAGTGCCCTTGTGTAGGCTTGAGCATGAGTTCCTTTTGTTTAGCCAGTGCTGTCACCCTATTCTCCAGTTTCTCTGATCTTTTATTTACATCATGGATGGGGACATGGGGAGGCACCTGGTAGGGAACAGAGTTTTTGGGGACCACTCTAGGAAGAGAGCCCATGACAAGAAGCGCAGAGCTGACAGGAGAGCAAGCCAGGAGGCTCTACCATGCCTCTGACATCCTGTGCTTCTGCACACAGCCAAGCAGGCCTGTCTGCCGCGCCGAGCCGAGGCAAGGCCACTGCCATGTACCCGCATAGGTCTGGCCTCCCACAGGCCCCCGAAAGGCACGTGGGCAGGAGAAAAAGAAAATTCTCTTGCTTTGGTCCACATTTGCAGCAACTTTAGTCTGATGGAGAAGTGAACTAATGTACCTTTCCAATTTAGGGTCCTTTCTTCTGGACAGAACAGAAAAGATACGGTAACGGCGCTAGAAATGACGGGGTATGGAGACGGCGGAGCAAGCCTGAGCCCGCAGGTACCTGAGGAAGTGCCCTATGGAAGCCACCCAGGGGCAGTAGCGTCATTGTTCTTGATCGAATATAGCTTTCTCTTCACTTAGGGGGTGAGTGGGTGAGGCGGAGAGTCTGACCTCCAGGTTGGCCTCACCCTGGTGACAATCCTCCTGTGTCAGCTGCCAGAGCGCTGGGGTATTAAGTGCATGCACATTTACACTTTCACCAGGTCCCCTCAGGCTTCATTTTTGATAAATGAGTTACACTTTAAAGTTGTTTCTTAAAAACAAAACAAAACAGGCCAGAACGTGTTTTATAAATAGACATATGTAAATTCCTTATAAACGAAAACCCTAACATTTTCTTCTTTATCAACACTAATTTCTCATATCTGAAGTTTGCATATGTTTCTGGTCAGCTCTTCTGAATTCTGACACTAAACAAGTTTTAGTTCAGTAGCTAAGGAATCAGGAGCTGTTTTTTAACCTGGTACTTTCTCATTTCACATCGGAGTCACGACTTGTCTACTTCATGCCCTTTCCTGAACACAGCACCTTCACGCAGGAGCGCCCGTGTGGGAAACACAGGCCCACTTTTGGAGCTACAGCTTTGTTGCTTACTGGAAGGGAAAATGAGGACAACAACACACCAACTACATATCATTCATACAAGGATTAAATGAGATATGTGCCGGAGCCACCGAAGCCTGTAGCGATGTTAGCTGTTGTCATCTGTTGGCTGAAAGAATGCTCTCTGTGCTTGCACACCCATGTTTATTGCCACAGTATTCAAGACAGCCAGGAAGTAGAGCCGATGAGCAGATAAAGAACATGCGATGCATGGACACAGTGGAATGTTAGAGTCAGAAAGGAAGGTGAGACCAGGACAGCTGCAGGATAAAACTGGAGGTCATGATGTTCAGCAAACGAAACCAGACTCATAAAGACAAGTGCCATGTTTTCTCATATGCAGAACCCAGTTTTAAAAGTGTGTGTGCGTATGCGCGTGTGCATGCTACTAAAAAGAGGCTAGTGAGAGGGGAGGAAGAGATGTTCAGAGGTGGGAAATAGAGTGATAGAACATGTGCAATGAAAACGCAAACAAGAGGGGCTGGAGGGGTGGCTTGTGGTTGAGGACAGCGAATGCTCTTCCAGAGAACCTGGGTTCAATTCCCAGCACCCACATGGCAGCTCACAACTGTCTGTAACTCCCAGGTCTGGCACCCTCACACAGGCATACATGCAGGCAAAACACCAATGCACATAAAATAATAAAAGAATTATTAAAAAAGAAAACAAACACGGGATGAACTGAGGGGGAAAGGGCCCAGCAGAAGGACAAGGTATCAGGGAGGAGGGACATGAGAAGAAAGTATAATGCGACTGTGTGGCACACGAGTGTGAAGATGCTGGAATGAAACCTGTTACTCTGTGTACTATCCTAAAGCTCTCTCACCAGCACACCTTGTCATCCTTGCCACCAAGAGGCTCAAAAGACACGGCCGTGTCTACTGCTGCAGTTTAAGCTCCGACCTTCCCAATACGTCCTCAGCATCCAGAGCATGGCTGGCACATAACAGGCAATCAGAGCGTATTTACTGAATGAATGTATGTAGGAAATACAGCAATATTTTATGGATAAGGAAACTGAGGTTCAGAGATAGCCGAAGACATAAAGCCTCCCAGTGACTTGGAGGGGACCAAGAGAGGGTTTTCCTGCTTGGCCGCATTCTACCATTTCCCTCCTAGGGCTTATCTTATTGTCTCTATCTTCAGATAGGGCATCTTTGTTATTAGATGTAAAAAGGATTCGGAAAATTCGAAACCTACTGTAGTATCCACAGCCTTGACTGCTTCTGTGGGAATGTGCTTTGGAACAGGCTCCGCCTGTGACAGCGTCACACATCCTGAAGCCCCTAAGGTGATGACCACCACCTGGCAGCCTCGTTCTAGGAGAACCGATGCAGCCTTCCCAGCCTCTGTGGCGTTATTCACTGCGAGGCCTGTTAAAATCTCAGCCTGGAATATGCACGAGAAAAGAAGCCATGGTGAGGATAAAGCGACTGAGATCTGCTTCCAGTTTGTCCTTTAAGAAAACGTGTCTCCCTCATTTCCTCATAACAACCACAGCAGTGGGAACCCTGAAGGACACTGGTGCAGAAACTCTAATAAAAGGAACAAAATAACGACAACAAAAATCAGCTATTTAAGGTATCCTCAGAATGGGCATGGTGTTTCATGCTTACTATCTGGAGGTCAAGAAAGGATGATAAGGAGTTAGTGGCCGAAGCAAGTGGAAGTCAGCCTGTATTTCAAAGTGAGACCCTATCTCAAATGACAACAAACAAAATCCAAATGTTTTGGAGGTTAAGAGCACTTGCTGCTCTGGTACAAGACTGAGGCTTAGCTCCCAGCATCCACATAGTGGCTTGCAATCACCTGTAACTCAGAAAATTGGGAACAGTACTACCTCAAGATCCAGCGGTACCACTCCTGGGCATATACCCAAAAGATGCCCTACCATTCAATAAGGACATTTGCTCAACTATTTATTTATTTATTCAGCTTTATTTATAATAGCCAGAATCTAGAAACAACCTAGATGTCCCTCAACAGTGGAATGGATATAGAAATTGTGATACATCTACACAATGGATACTACTGAGTTATTAAAAACAAGGAAGTCATGAAATTTGCAGGCAAATGGATGGAACTGTAAGAAATCATCCTGGGCAAGATGGTGGCGCCGGGAGGACTCTCATTCTGAGGAGCAGCACAGCAGGATTGGCACAGTGACCAGCAATCAGAACTCGCGGCCATAAAACACAAGTGATTGTGTTTCTCAGGTGAGAGGATACCCCACGGTGGGGGATTCAATCAGCTTTAACTCACCCGGCTAGACCGCGGAAGAGTTCCCGGTTCCGCCAGGCTCTTGGTCGTCAGCCCGGGGCTACACGCCAGCGCTATCTGGTCACTGTCCCAGACTGAACTGTGGGCCCACAACACCATAGACTGGATTTCCCAGTTGAGAGATAACCCCACGGAGCAGGAAACAATTGGGACCGACCCCAGGTTACCCAGACATCCTCTGGAAAAGACTCAGGTTCCGCGGGTGCCCCAAAAGCCAGCGCGGACCCAGAGCCGGGAACCCAGGCTCCTGCACGGAGCCCAGTCTGCGCGCGAGATTCGCCGCCTCAGATAGAACTGTGGGTACCAGGGCACCAGGGCACCAGACTGCGTGTCTCTGGCAGGAGGAAACCCCCAGCGGAGGGGGTCAGCAGCTCTAACGCTTAGGACACCCAGCACCAAAACACTTCCTGGACTCACGCAGACTCTAGTGCAGGCAGGAGCGCTGTGCTCTGCCGCCATTGTTGAGTTCCCCTGGGGCACTGGGACACACAGCTGCATCCTCGGACCTGCAGGAGCCGAAGAGCCATTACAGCAGCCCTCAGATACTGTGCCAGGGATCGGCCAGTTGTCCCTGGCTGGTCTGTCAAAACTGTGGGAATCCCTGATCCTTCAGGGGGGCTGCACCCACAGCGTCTGGACCAGAGCGGTGCCTGCATCCCCCATCCCAGACAGAGACACACAGCTTCTGGTCCAGAGTGAGGCACCCAGCCTCCAGACCAGAACAGTGCCCCCAGGCGCCAACTCAACCTAGGTGCACATTCTCCAGGTCCAGAGCGGAGCTATCAGCCTTTGGCCCAGAGACTTGCTGAGTGCACCTCCCACTTTCCCGGACAGAACTGTGCGCCCCAGGATAACAGACTGAGTTTCCCTGTTGGGAGAAAACCCCACAGCTAGGGAATCAGCAGTTTCTTCAAGAGGACTGTACATGGAAATTTAGTGAGCAGCAGCACACTAAATTTATAACAAGAAACCCAGCAGTGGGGCAGCTGTCTTGAGAAATTCTATAGGTAAGAGGAGATCCCCCCCTGCCTAACATAGACCACAGCTACTACTCAGGGCTATAAACCTGAGGTGAGCAGTGGCAACTCCTGAGAAACACTGGCCATACAGTGACCATAACCAAAAAGCAGAGAAGGACTCCTTCAGGAAAAATCATCTTCCAGCCAAGGGGATACTCCCTACCTCAGGACTCCAGGAAGCACAGAAACTAACAGCCAACACCTAAATCAGCCCAATGGGTAGAGGTCAGCGTAAAGGCTCAACCAACAAAAGACAGAGCAATATGGCATCTCCAGAACCCAGCCATCCAGGGGCGAACAGCCCTGAACAATGCAGCATAATAGAAAATCAAGAAGATGTCCTTACATCTATGTTGATGAAGAGAATAATAGAGGAAACAGATAAAATACGTAAAGAATTAGAGGAAGATAAAACCAAACAGATCATGGCTATCCGTAAAGAAATGGAGGAAGATAAAGACAAGCAGATTAGGGCCAACCGTGAATAAATACGGGAAGATGCAGCCAAACAGCTTGTGGCCTTCAGAGAAGAAATAATTAAATCACTGAAAGAAATCAAAGAGACAGAGTTGAAGGAACTAAAAGAAAAAGAGGAAAATACAAGCAGACAGGTGAAGGAAGTAAACAAAACAACTCAAGACCTGAAGATAGAACTAGAAAAATTAAAGAAAACACAAATGGAGGAAATAATGGAGAGGAAGAATTTAGGGAAGAAAACAGGAACTACAGAGGTAAGCATAACCAACAGAATACAAGAAATGGAAGAAAGAATCTCAGGTGTAGAAGATACAATGGAAGAAATCGATGTATCTGTCAAAGAAAATGTTAAATCCAAAAAAATCCTGACACAGACCGTCCAAGAAATCCAAGACAATATGAAAAGACAAAACCTAAGAATAATAGGAATAGAGGAAAAAGAAGACTCCCTTCTCCAAGGCCCAGAAAATATTTTCAACAAAATCATTGAAGAAAATTTCCCCAAGTTAAAGGAGAAGCCAGTAAGGATACATGAGGCCTACAGAACACCCAACAAATTTGACCAGAAAAGAAAATCCTCCCGCCACATAATAATCAAAACAGTAAGTATACAGAACAAAGAAAAAATACTAAAAGCTGCAAGGGAAAAAGGCCAAGTAACATATAACGGCAAACCCATTAGAATCACACCTGACTTTTCAACAGAAACTATGAAAGCCAGAAGGGCCTGGACAGACATCATGCAGACCCTAAGAGAACACAGATGTCAACCCAGGCTACTATACCCTGCAAAACTCTCAGTCCTCATAGACGGAGAAAACAAGATATTCAATGACAAAAACAAATTTCAACAATACCTACACACAAATCCAGCATTACAGAAGATACTGGAAGGGAAAATACAACCCAAGAAAATTAGCTTCTGTCAAGAAAACACAGGAAGTAATTAACCTTACTACAGCAAAACAAAAAGCAACCAAGCACACAACCTTATGAATACAGCCAACATCAAAATCAAAGGATCTAACAGCCACTGGTCATTAATTTCTCTCAACATCAATGGACTCAACTCTCCAGTAAAAAGACACAGATTAACAGAATGGATACGTAAACAAAACCCAGCAATCTGTTGCATACAAGAAACACACCTAAGACACAAAGATAGACATTACCTGAGGGTAAAAGGTTGGAAGATGACTTTCCAAGCAAATGGACCCAAGAACCAAGCAGGAGTTGCCATTCTAATATCTGATAAAATAGACTTTCAACCAAAATTAATAAAAAGAGATGAGGAAGGACACTTCATACTCATCAAGGGAAAATTCCACCAGGAAGACATCACAATCCTGAACATCTATGCCCCAAATACAAGAGCACCCACATTTGTAAAAGAAACATTGATAAAATTTAAACCACATATAGATCCCCACACATTAATAGTGGGAGACTTCAACACCCCACTCTCAACAAAGGACAGGTCAACAAAACAGAAATTAAACAAAGAAACAATATCTCTGACAGAGGTCATGAATCAAATGGACCTCACAGACATATACAGAACTTTACACCCAAACACAAAAGAATTTACCTTCTTCTCAGCACCTCATGGAACCTTCTCCAAAATAGACCATATATTGGTCACAAAGCAAGCCTCAGCAGATACAAGAAGACTGAAATAATCCCTTGCATCCTGTCTGATCACCATGGAATAAAGCTGGACTTCAACAACAACAGAAATAGCAAAAAGTCTACACACACATGGAAACTGAACAACTTGTTACTAAATGACAGCTGGGTCAGGGAAGAAATAAAGAAAGAAATTAAAGCCTTTCTAGAACTCAATGAAAATGAAGACACAACATAGCCTAACTTGTGGGACACAATGAAAGCAGTGCTAAGAGGAAAGTTCATAGCACTAAGTGCCTTCAAGAAGAAATTCGAGACAGCTCATTCAAGCAACTTAATGGCCCACTTAAAAACCCTAGAAAAAGAAGAAGCAGACACACCAAAAAGGAGTAGACGGCTGGAAATAATCAAACTCAGGGCTAAAATCAATCAATTAGAAACAAATAAAACAATTCAAAGAATCAATGAAACCAAGAGCTGGTTCTTTGAGAAAATCAACAAGATCGACAAACCCTTAGCCAAGCTAACTAAAAGGCAGAGAGACACCACCCAAATCAACAAAATCAGAAATGAAAAGGGGGACATAACTACAGACACTGAGGAAATGCAAACAATCATTAGGACTTACTTCAAAAGTCTATATGCCACAAAATTTGAAAATCTAAATGAAATGGACAATTTTCTTGATCGATTTGACTCACCAAAGCTGAATCAGGACCAGGTAAATCAACTAAATAGTCCTATATCCCCCAAAGAAATAGAAGCAGTCATCAAAAGTCTCCCATCCAAAAAAAGCCCAGGACCAGATGGCTTCAGCGCAGAATTCTACCAGACCTTCAAAGAAGAGCTAACTCCAATTCTCTTCAAACTATTCCACAAAATAGAAACAGAAGGAACATTACCAAATTCATTCTATGAAGCCACAATCACCTTGGTATGTAAACCTCACAAAGACTCAACAAAGAAAGAGAATTTCAGGCCAATCTC